TTACTAGTTCAACCTAGATTCGATTTCGAACGAATGTATTTGGCTGCGTGGGTGTTTTTGTTTCTGACCATTTCTATGTAGGCAATGTTTCTATGTAGTTCTCTTAGGGAAACGGCCATCGCTTCCTTTGCCATACTCAAATAACTGAACTGATTTCGATGCTAGTAGTGAAAAATTAGAAAGCAGAATGCCAGAATGGCAGTGCTTTATTAAAATTTATTCATTAAAATGTACCAAAAATTATTCATTTCAAAACAGTTTCAGTTATAGGTAGCGAAACTCCTTTTTATATGTAATTCCTCTTCAACTTCCACGCATCAAAATTCGATTATATTTTAAAACGCTTGCAAAAAATACTTATGTTAGTACAGTAGCACTTTATCTGTATTTCTAAAAGGAGTTGTCATTCATTCACATTCATTCAAAGAAGATGAAGTTATAGGAAAAAAAAATACTTTAGTGCATGACAGATCAAAATAAATAAACAAGATATTCTCCAGTGACTTATCATTTGGTTAAGAAATATCCGAAGGCAAATAGATAATGATATTGCGTATATAAATATACGTTTTGTCTTTTAAGCGTTGATGCTGTTTTATCAAGCGATGACAAGCATTTTGTGAAAAGAAATAACACAACTATGTATTTCTCATCAAATATATCATTGTTTCTTTGCACAAAAATTTATTGAAATTCGAGAATTTTTAACAGGAAAAAAAGTTATCACAATTCGCCCTCTCCCACCGTTTACGAGCTTATCTGGAGAGTTACAAAGAATTGAATGGAATAGCGAAACACTGGAACTCCCAAAGTACTTTTTTATTCCTTATAGCTCTCCAACAAGGCCATACATACATAACACATATATATAGAGAGAGAGAGGCTAGAATATTTTTATGGCGTATTTAAGAAAGTATATATATATACGTTCATTTGAAATATATTAAAAATATTAGGGTAATATATTAAAAGCAGTACATTAATCCAGGTATAAAGTAGCAGAGACATTTTTAGCATTAAAAACAAGAAAATAACTCATGGCAGTTTTGGAGAAATTTGGGGGTTTCTTACCGAAACCTTGTGCTGCTGAGGGACAGTGTTTTCCACATAACGTCATTTTGGAATAATGGTATAAAATAAGCTGTTATTTGGTATCCCAACAAAGATGTATTTTGAAATATATTAAAAAAATTAGCACTTAATTGAAGGTTGTGGTTGTTACTGATTCTGATTCTTCAAAAACAAGTTTTCTGCTGATACAGTTTCATTCATGCGATCCCTTGCCACTTATTATTGCATCGCTATCGTTGCTCTTTAGAACAAGAAATATTAAAAAAAAAACCGATACCCCAGGCTTTCATCTGTGAGGATCGTGCATGGATTTTATATTTATAGAATCTTCCCCATGGTGTAGAGACGGTTTTGATAAAATTATGTTATCTTATTTTGAGAAACGTCGTAACGTAGAAGTATACGCTAAAGATCAAAATTAAAAGGAAATAAAGCTTGCATTAACTTTTAATGAGCATTTTATTCAAGTTCAGGTATAGAGAATTACATACGAGCATTTTATGCATGTTAAGGTATAAAGAATTACTTATGAGCAGGAAATCAGAGGAAAATGAGCTAGTGGTTTCAGCAGTCAAATGATTTGACTTACTGATCTCTACGCGTATTTGTCGGACAGAGTTAATTATTTATTAGTTTGGTAGCTGAAGCCTGATTGTAACACTTGTTAATGCCGGATTCGAATTGCGTTTTTTCAAACACAGACTGCGTCACAACGAAGCCTTCTTGAGAACAAAAGCTGGAATTATCAGGTCTCATCAGTTAGTCTATCACCGATTATAATACTCGATTATAATACCTGTCCCACCAAGATGATTACGACCATCGCCGAACAAAGACTAGTATAGCTTTGCGAGTGTGATCAAATGTGAGTGTGTTTACACTGCGGGGAAGGGACAATTCTATATCTCCCGTTCTACTGGGCCGATTAACGAATTCAAATTGTGTTTCCCGTGTCTCGAAAACGCGACTTAGGATATACATTAGATTTTTTAATACCTTTGTTGTAACATAGGTATTTTGACACAAAATCGGACTTTTTCTGATATAAAATACCAATTTTTTTTTCCATATTTCGATTCTACGACTCAAATTTTGCCTAGGTATGAAATTTTGCAATTTTTTGCGAGAAATTTATGGAGAAATTTAAAAATTTATCTTGGCGAATTTTTTTCAGTTTGCGCCAAGAATAATTCACTTGCCGAACTTCTTAGTTTATAGCAATTTATTTTCTTTTCCTTTTCCTTCATTGTCCACGAGCGGAAAAAAAGTCATCCATATTTTCGTTATTATCGCTTATAATAAATACGCCAAATTTGAAAACGCGCCAAAATATCAATTCACTATATCTCAGGAAATTTTGAATAAAAAACTCTAATAATTTGCAGGTGTGCTTAGAAATATATCTACTGTAGGATGATGGCAAAACTTTTACAGATTATAATTCGAAACATTTTTCGAAAAATTTATAAGAATTATTTAAAAATACAAATTTAAAAAATAAATCATAAAAATAGGCGAATTCTATTTGGAAGGAACCTAAATTTCGAAATATGAAAGGAAGAATCAAATAAGTTTAATTAAAAAAGAGATACTAATAGATGTATATCAAATTCAATTAACATTGAGGAGCTAGTAATAAGCGAATTTTATTTGGAATGTACCTAAATTTCGAAATATGAAAGGAAGAATCAAATAAGTTTAATAAAAAAGAGATACTAATAAATATATATCAAATTCAATTAACATTGAGGAGCTAAAATTTTGAGAGCTAATTTTTAAAAAAACTACTCGAGCGATTTTTGTAAAATTTGGCAGTTTGGCATAATTTGAGTCTTAGAATCGAAATATGGAAAACAAATTGGCATGTTATTTCATGCCAATTTTTGTAATTTGTAACAGCTGAGCAGAGCCGTTACAAGATCAGGTGGGATACATTGCACAGGCTGAGAACTAATAATCAGGCTGTAAATTCTGACATGAAAAAAATTTTAGTGGATATCATTGCTTATGAAATTTTGCTGTCAAATGTCTAATCAAATATTTGTTAGAGCTTTCAGATCCTAATGAAGGCTCTAACACATGTGTGGTTAGATTACAGCTCCGTCTTCCAATGAAAATGTGGTTTAAAACGCAAACCTGGTTCAAAGAATTGCAACTGAGAGTTTACTACAGCTAGTGTCACAATATGCTCCACCTACAGACCTAACAAATAACTATATTTTACAAAGATATACTGAGGTGGTGTCCGCCGAAAACATCGCAGATTTTTCATTTGCGATGTACTTACACGGTCGCGGAGAAAACAACGCAAGACGAAAACAAAGCAAGGCAAAAACGTCGTGGGAGAAAATAAAGCAAAGCGAAAACATCGCAGTTCTTAAAAAAAAAAACATCGTGGTACAAAATATCGCGGTCGGAAATAAAGCAGTTCAAAAACTTCGCAGTTTGAAAACATCGTTGTCGAAAATATCGTGGTAAAAAAAACAGTACTTACAAATCATCGCATGACAATAACATCGCAGACATGCATTTTTCAGGCCTTTAATAATTGTGAAAAGATACTCGCATAATGATTTGTAAGCGCAATATGGAAAAAGAATAATTTATACTTTCATATTTTATTATTAACTAATAAATATTTGCTGAAAATGTAAAATGGAAACTTAAACATAGAAAATTAATGAAACTTATAATCACTTAATAGAATATTAAACTGACATAGTTAACTAACTAAGGTCATTAATAAATTATTTTTTATAAAGTTTTTACTGGTAATTTTTCATGAAAAGTGTAATCTAAAAAATATTAGAAAAAGGAAGATAAGTATTTGCATGCCCTTATCTATAAAAAATTGCTAAGTTAATTATAAGATTATTTCTTCACTTTTATTAATCTGGTACTCTTATAGTAAAAAAATATTTCTTTTTTGTTTAAATTTTTTTAATATATAAAAGTATTAGTTAATAAAAAATATGAAGGTAAAAATTCTCCTCCTTTCCATCTTGCTCACAAATCATTATACGAATATCCATTTACAATTATTAAAGCCTGAAAAACGCGTGTCTGCGATGGTGGTTCCCCCCCCCTACGAGATTTTAGACGACTATGTTTTTAAACTGCGAAGTTTTTGAACCGCCATATTTTCTACGACGATATTTTGTACCACGATGTTTTAGAACTGCGATGTTTTCTCTTTGCTTTATTTTCTCTCACGATGTTTAGTGTCACGACGTTTTCGCCTTGCGTTGTTTTCACCGCGATGTTTTCGGCTGTTTTCTCATATACACTATCAGATATCTTTTGTGTGCATGTCAAATATTAGAGTAGTCCAGGCATTCTGATTATTGAAGTTTTTATTATTGTTGTCTGGTTCTTTATTTTTTCCCCTATTGTACATAAAAATATTTTGCGAAGTGTTCATGCTGATCTGATTTTATTTACAAGTCGCACAACTCATTTGAAATTTCCTCCTACGGTAATTATTGCTCGAAATTTACGTAAATATTTTCGGCTAAGGATGCGTTTTAGATAATGTTAACATCTTTTATTGGCTTTGAGTAGAATGATAAAATGTTTCATTTAAAGAGGCAAGGGCCGAACAGTGGGAAAAGATAGTTTAAGCAAAAATATAAACAGAAGTAAAGAGAACTCCCAGGATTACGAGTGCTAAGTTCCTACAGAAAAGATTATAGATGAGAGAAAGTAATCGTGATTCATCAGTACTTCCTTAATAATCATTGATATCAACTAATATTCTTTTTTCGTGGTCAGGTATATACGAAATAGAAAATATATGCTCATATGTACTACACGGTACATGCTGATTATATATATGTATACACACTTCTTTTAGTGTTAACGCCAAAAAATTCTTTTCTCGTTGTATACTGATGATTGTCACCTTTCCCCCTTTTCTATTTATTCTCCAGGAAGACAGCTGTTGCGTCCTCACTGCACTCCCTTACGGGCAAAATGAAGAGGAGGTAGCCAGCCGCACTAAAGCACTCTCCGAAGGAATGGTGAATTATCTGAGGAGCAAAAGGGCTGTTGGAATATCTGTAGCACCCGGGGAAGAGGTAATTTTTATTGTTACTATCTAGTAGGTGTATTTTTGTTATTATACAAGGTTGCTTTAATAATGATGCTGTAACCTTAGGCAGGTTGGCCCCTGCTCGGAAAGACAGATATCTTTCAAAACAAAAAAGAAAGAAAAAAAGGGGGGGAACTGAAGGTCATTTTTTTGCTTAAAATTGATGAAAATACCCTTATGTAAGTCCGATTTTTGTTTCGATTAGTGATTAATTAATCAATATATGTAATAAATCTTCCACAGCTTTGTGAATAAGGTGGGCCTTGCTTAAAAGTACCTGCACTGTTGGGAAAAGCAGAATTATTATAAAGCTAACTGCACTTTTATGAAAACGGTTGATTAGCATAAATGTACCCCCAAAAACTAAAACTCAGTGGCGTAACAGCCCTAATGGGCCAAGGCCTGCAGTGCCCAATCTGCTTTCTTGACCGTGGGTCCCGGGATACTTAAGCATATGCTCTGAACAAGTGTTCAGCTTGTCGCAGGACCCCTAGTGTTTAGTCCCCAAGCGAACTTGGTACTCATTTTATTGACCCAAGTGATGGAAATCAAGGAATGAAAGGCTGAGTCGACCTTGTCCTGCCCGAGAATCTAACCCCAAACCTGTGTGCGCGATGCGCTAGCCACTGCGCCACCGGGCCTCTAAATGTATCCCCATCTTTATGAAAAACAACGGATTGGAGTCAGGATGCCGAAATTTTCGTCAATCAGAAATGGGCTTCTTGTAAGAATATTCGGGTATTTCAATTAATTAAACTTTATTTTCATAGAAATCGCAAATTGCTATATACATAAAGGGTTAAAAAATGCATATTTCCTACTCCTCACGAAACATTTTTTTCCCAAACAATTTGAACGGTTATACATTGTTTATATATTACATAAGCATCACACAGGGGATGAATATATAGCCAATGATAGTACCTATTTAAGCGATCTATTACATTTTGTTCCATGAGTTAAAAGACTGGTGGAAAACATGGTCGAATGCATTCAAAATCCAAAGAGTAAAAATTATTAAAAAAATAATTATACAACCTTTTCACCCTGCATGTATAAAATAAGTAAACCTTTGCCGATACGTCATTAACACATACGCATAAGGCAAGATCGCGTTCGCAAACTTTCTACGGAGAAAAAAAAAAAAAATGTGCTAGTTATAATTCAGATTAAGACAATATGTATGATTTAAATCAACCACATATTGTTTCTAGTTAAGTCCGCGATTTTTAGCCCAAAGGGCGTTAGCCCAGAAGAGCTATTAATTTCGTTTCGGCATTTTCCATTGGTTCACTATAAATGTCGGCTCACTTTTCAAATTGTTACCATTAAATATTAGAGCCGTGTGTTATATTAAAAGAAATTAAATAATGGAGTATCTGCATAAATATATCTATGTTTCTCGCATTGCGACAAAACAACGGTACCTAGAGCCATCAAATTTTCAATAACGTACGTCCAGACCCGAATATGGGCATTTGGAAGCCTGAATTTAGAATTTGAAATTTGTTTTATTATCGATTTCATGTTTTGTAACACTTTAAGGAATTTTTGATTAACAAACTCAACGATTTCAAAGCGAGCAATGAGCGGGGGGGGGATTATTTCCAGAGCGCGAGATTGTTTATTGGAAATTCTGAAGATATGCACAGTTTAAAATTATTTTGCGATATTGCTGTTGAATTGAATTTTGCGGTTTAAGTGCGAAGAACATGATATATAATAGACAAAGGTAACACACAAAACGTTAAGAAAAGCTCCTTTGGGCGTAATGTAAAATTTGAAATCTTTCAGTTTCTTTCTTTCTCTCTATCTCTCTCTCTTTTTTATTTTACTTTATTTTTTTTATTTTTATTTATTTATTTATATTTATTTATTTTTTATTTTATTTTATTTTTTAAATTTTTTTTTAAGCTGCGGATTTTTTACTCTGGACAATGATTCAAGTAACTCTAAAAATTTCGCGGTAAGGAGCGCATAATTTTTCAGTGCCTTTCAGAAAGTGTCTCTTCTTACTTCATTTGGGTTAATCTGCATTGCAAAATCAGATAATTCATGTGTCTTTTTTACAATTCGTTTAACTTCTAATAAGTTATAGACGCTTTATCTTCTTCATTACCACTGCTTTCGCTATCGTCTTGGTGTTTTACAAGATCATCCAGTTCTTCATCACGATTTATTCGTTGATTTTTTCCATATCCGAAAATCCTTTCCCACTAGTTGCTTTTGTAATCTGAACCATTTCTTTGGCTTCTTTTCAATGGATAGAAATTCATTAAAATTGTTCATAACTTCTGGTCAGAGCTGATGCCAGAAAGAATCCAATGCTAATTTTTACACGTCAAACCGCGTATGAATGAAATTTTATCTTTGGATAAATTAAATAGAAACAATTAAGATTCCGCGTATATGAAACCACGTTCTGCAAATCCGCGTTCAGCAAGGCCTTACTGTTGTCATTTTGGTGAAAATAAAATTTAACTTATAGAGATAACCGAGTCCTCGTCCGAGAAGCACAACCTGAAACTTTTTTTCTGGTTGACGGAAACTTCGGCGTCATTTTGAATAAACCGGCGGGCAGCACAATTCGGCGCTGTTGGCACTCAATGTAAATGGAAGTATATGTCTGCGACCAACGTTTGCCAAAATAAAGTAATGGCTTTTGTGATGTATATTCAAGTGAAAAGACCTTCCTAAAAATTGCGTTTGTCACTCGATGTGTATATTTATTTGAACTTTCTTTCCATAGTTATATCTTTGTTCAATTATCAATTTTAAATTTATTTAATTAAGTATTGCAAATCTACGAGAATTTATTTAATGAAAGTTCGACACCGCGGCTACGGAAAATACCAAGTGATACGAATTTTCATCGTAATTTCCATTATAAGTAAAATAATTGCCATGTACTCTTCTTGTTTATAGCCGAATTTGTGAAAATGTTCTCGCAGAATATTAAAATATGAGATGAGGAGGAACTCGCTGAATCATCTGGATTGTTAGTTTAGCGCGAAAAATAAATCTGGAAGACTGAAATTCCTCGATGTCTGGTCAATTTTTAAAGAAGTTTATTCGAGTATTGGACCATTCATTTCTTAGGTAATAAAAACTTTCCTTCAGGTGTTATTTTAGATTGACAAATACCGTGTTTATTGTTCCGTCGAATGATACAGAATGAAAAATTCTTCTTCTGAAATTATGTTTTACATATTATAGAGCTATGGAATAAACGCATTTGCCGATTTGATCAACACTTCATAACTTTCCTTTGTGGACGCCTCTGTGAGCAACCACAATAGAAAAATTATCGATTTTTATTCATATTACGGAAGCTTACTTTAGTAAATGCCAAGGGTAGTCGCGAAGACATAAATACTGGAGTCGAAACAATTGAAAAACATTTTTCATTTCTGTTCTGATGTAACTTCTATTACTTACTCATATTGGCTTTTTCCTTTATTTCGCGTTTACGTTCTGTTATTGAAAAGGTTTCACTTAATGTGTTGAAAATAACTATATTTTCAAAAAGCTTTAGAAAGGCATATAAATACGACAAAAAGAAATAAAGCTTAATGCTCTTAATTATGGTTTTATTTGAGTTATGTTTACAATCTGTTCAAAAGCTGAAGTTTGCGTTTTCTGTTACTTGTTTCGTTGAAATAACTATGCATATGACTTAGTGCACGTATTGAAACGAATAAATCCACCTGTACTGTAATATAAGTAATATCCAATCCTTTTAATAAAGCTTTAAAAAAAAAAAAAGTGGAAAACTGTAAGATTTCGCTGTACTTGCTCCATTCTTCTTCTTTGATTTATATTCTTTCCGGCCGGAGTTAACAAAAGAAGGGAAATCACAGGGAAATTAATCAGATAATTGTGTTAATTAACATAACACTTTATAACTTAACATTTCTGCCTTTTTACTTCCTTGTACGAAGTAAAAAGGAAGTATTGTAATCGCGAAAAGTTTCAGGCAGCATATTTCAACGAAAATATCCATTTTGACCGCTATCGAATGCAATTTAACGATGTTTTTGCGTGATATCTGTACGTAAGGACAGAATAAAATACTCCTTTCCTTCAAAAATATTGTAAAACTGCTTTAAAATTAATTCTGAAGAGAATTTTTCGTGGCGTCTGTGTACGACGTACGTATTCTCGCAAAAAACTCAAAAACGAGTAGCCGCAGAAGAACGTTGAAATTTTGTATATAGGACTGCTATAACATGTAGATGTGCACCTCGTATTTTGGTTGCAATCGGCCCGCACCAAAACTTATATAAAATATATTTATATATATATCCACTCTGTTACCCCGGCTCAGTGATCTCAGTTTTCTTTACTCTTATATGTTTGTAAATTGTACATTTTTTGCTTTAAAAATGATTGTATTATGTTGTTTTTATCTTCCGGTTAAGGTTTTTATGCCTTTAGTAAATCTGTGTGCAATATTTTTAGAATTATCAACAATTTTAAAGTTTTCTAAGTGCCGCTAAGCCTTTTTTTAATGGCGGCAATTAATGTTTACAGGTACAGGTACAGGTAGAAGCTAGGCCAGCACCTCTGTAGTACCACAGGTAATTGAGGTATTGCTGAACCTAGCTAACTGTTAAACTTTCCACCCCAATTTTGAGGAAGAACACCCCGGGGGGTGGTCCGAGGTTCTCTCGCCCCTCTTCCTTTTACCATCAACCACTTGAGAGGACTTTCTGAGATAACTGAGTTCTGGTATTAATAGTGTACACAAATCATATTGAGAAAAGACTGTCCTTGAAAAGTTCAACAACTGATGCTTCCAAAAGAATAAGGAGACTACTGGATTTGTTGCCAATTTAGAGAAACTTAGCTTCACAACAACAAAGATAACGCCTTCATTTACTATTGCCAATTAAATCATGCTTAATTCTTTCTGGAATTTTTTCAAGGAAATAAGTGTTTAAGATTTACTTCGTAATTTTTAATATAAATATTTTAAGTTTTTAT